TTCGAACTTTCATGTATATATATATTTATATATGCATATATATGTATATATTAAATAGTACAACATTGTGTTATAAGAATAGGCAGCAAAATTTAGGCTAAGGCAATGATTCAAATATACAGTTTTTATACTTTTTTTCACAACTTAATTACCTTGCAAATAGGACAACTATAGGCTGAGGCTGAACGACGGAAAATTTGAATCTGCCTATACGGGCATTGCAGTCAGCCTATAGGGTCCCTTGATTTCACACACACCCATGTGGATGTGGGTGTGTATGTTTGTGTGTAAATCAAGGCCCCTTTGTGACCAAGATTGTGAACTCCAATTAATAATATAACGTATATTAACGTTTTATTATTAGTCAAACTTTGGATGGCAAAATTGTCAATTAATTTTTTGGGTAGGGTTCCAAGTGTCCACCTTGTAGTCTATTTATAACTTATTGTTATTAAGTGCCGCACATAGACAACTATGACTTTTAAATCATTAAAAATACCACCATACACCAACAAATACAACTCCTCACATATTAATATATATTATACCCACACAAAAAGATTATGTTTGATAAACTATACTCCCTCCTTTTTTAAATAAATGTCGTTTTGACTTTTTTGATTCATCCATTTTGCTATGTATCTAGACATATTAATGTCTAGATACATAGCAAAATGGATGAATCAAAAAAGTCAAAACGACATTTATTTAAAAAAGGAGGTAGTAGTTTAAACTAGTTAATATCTACGAGTTAGCTGATAACTTATATGAAAATGCTACAAATACATAATAAATGTACATAAATGTGTACATAACACTCACATAGAGTGATGTCCACTTGAGTTTTTATTTTTGGTAGGTCCCACTCAATGCGAGTGTTGTGTACACCCCTATGTACAATATTATGTACTTATAGCATTTCTCTAACTTATAATAGACTATATTTGGTAAACCTAATTGATAACTACATAAGTCATATGACTACTTATCACTGGATTTGATCTTAAGCTGAAAAATTAATTGATATGATATAAGTTTTGTAAAATTAGCTGATAAACCGACTGAATTAAAAATTTCAACCTTCTTATTTGAAAAACTATCAAATGAAGCTTATGAGATAATCTCTATTTTTTTAATAAAAGTCCGTTGTATCGAACCAAACTTATTTGAACAAAAAAAACTTATAAACTAACCAAATAAATTAAGCAAGTTTACTTTGAAGTATATGATACTTAAATTACTAAGAATTTTAAATATGAATGTGGAATTTAGTGGTTGGATTTTGTAAGTATATTTTATTTTTAGATTTTTACGTAATTATAAAATTACAAATAACAATTAGAAAACCTGAATATACATTTTCATTTTTTAAAAATTGTTAAAATATTAAATAAATATCTCCTAAGTGTTTTTCACAATTTTTAAAAATATAAATAAATTATTAAAATTCCTTCAAAAATATTCCAAATTAAGGATACATCCTCACATATTTATATACTCTTTTGTTTTTCGTTTTAACATCATAATAAATCAAGACACAAAAAATGACGGGAATATAAAGTTTGATAAGGGAGTTCTCTAGAGAACAAAAAGTCAAATTTAAATTTCCACGCGTCAGACTTATGGACATAATATATAATTTGTTTTATTAGCTGTATTATTATATCCTAAATAAAATATGCAGCACATCTCACGAAAGTGAAATTCAAACAAAAAGTTTGTTTAAATTGAAAATGAAATTTTAGTCCGATATATTTTACTATTTTAACTTTTTTGTCCTCTTCATTTTTTTTTTTTATTCTTCTCCTTTATGTTTGCGGAAAGGTTAAAAAAAAAATCCCTTATGTTTTATAAAAAATATTGCAATTTCATCCCTTATGTATGCCCGATGATTTTTTTATAACATTTTTGCAAACATCAAGGACGAAAATGAAAAAAAAAAAAACAATTCAAAAAAGATGAAAAAATTAAAATAATGAAACATATAAGATTAAAAATGCAATTTACTCAATTAAATAAAACAAATCATTTTAGCTGCACATTAATAATGCTAAGGCCTAAGAGAGAGGCATGTTCTATATATGGAGTAGGTTCTAACAATAAAACCAAAATCAAACAACAAATAGATTTTGACCACGTGTCCACCATCTTCACTGGCGGGAAGGTCGCCAGTCGCCCAATAGGAAAAATACAAAAAAATAAATAAATAAATAAATAAATAAAAAACATTTCCTATCAGTAAGACCAGAAAAAACAGTAACAAAGCCAAAAATATTATTAAAAATAATTATCAGACAAAACTTTTGATAAACACGCATAAGTTTATTAAATAAATATAATGGTTAGGCTCGCCTAATTATTAGACCGTCTTACACAAATACTTCCATAAGCCTCAGAATTAATTAAGAACATTTCATTTTTGATAAGCCACTTACACTTTCAGGTATAATTTCAGAAAAACACTATATTATATAGTACTACCTCCTATTCTTTTTAAATGTCATTTTGACTTTATCAACTATTAACCAAATAAATGTCGTATTTGGTACATGTTTTTTCCATTATTCCTTTATTTAGTCAATAAATACACTACGTCTTTTCATATTTACTCTTCGTCTTTTCTCAAAACATTCATCTCTATCTTCATTAAATAGGATTATTATTGACAACAAAAGTATTCTTAATTACTGTGTCACTTCTCAAAACGACATTTATTTTGAATAGGAGGAAGTATAAGTTTTATTCAATTAATTATCTAGATTTCAACATAACACAAAAGAATCGCTGTCAAAAGTCCAGCTTCATGCTTTTCATAATTTAAAAATTAATGTAAAAAATACGGGAGATGCAACGTTTACGAACCGTTCCGTCGAGATTCGTTTCAACTATTTCGACGGAACCGTAGTATTTCCCAAAAAAACACATATTCTGCAATTATAAGTATACAACACTCTCCAATATATCATAAATTATTTATGAAAAAATTATCAACTGATAACCAAATGGAAGCCCCTCTTCTCCCTCAAAACACCACCACAATTCATATGCATAATTTTTTTACATACCTGCTGTCCGGCTGAATGAAGAGACCCTGCGACAGGTCTTTCAAGCCGTTGATGACACTTTTCCGGCTAAACTTCCGGTCGGCGGCCTCCAGCCCAAGCTCGTGCTCAATAATCTCGAACTGGCTCTCTCTCGACGACTTTATCCTATCTCTTAAATCCTCCACTGTATATTCCTCATCCCCATTTCTCAGCTTCCTCTCTCCGCCTTCTTCTCCGCCATTGACGAACGACGCCGTTTTCCTGAAAGATACCATTCTCTCTACTTCCGATGGAAGTTGTGAACGGCGATTTATTTTGAGGGGGAATATGTAGTGGAGATTGCCAGATTGGGCGGTTTTTTTTTTATGCTGGAGGTCTGTGGAAATTGATTTTTTGGGGGCGAGAAGTTGATTATTATCAGGATAAAATGGGGGTAAATAATTAATTGTTTAATTTCTTATGAGAAATTCATATGGCTGTGTGTGATTGGCGAGGTATGATCATATCAGAAGAAAATGTCGTTGTTGTTGGAAAGGGCGGAGGCATGTGAGTGAGAGAGAAATGGGTGTGCTTTTCAATTGCCGAAAAGCTTTTTATAGGCCGAGGACCTTTATGTGACAATTTTTTTTTTTTTTTTTTTTCAAACGACAGATAATCTTATAAATAAATAGTTGCAAAAAAATGTTCAATACAACTCGATAACCGAGAATTAAGAGCACCACAAAGGAGCGGGCTAGAATACATAAAAATAAGCATCACCAACTCTAAGAAGCCAATTAGGGGTAAATCATTTACACTCAACTGAACTTTTACCCTTAAACCACACACACAACCATATATAGAACTACACTGACAAAAAAAGAACAAGAACAACAATTAAAAAAAAAAAGAAAAAGCAAAAAAGTGAAAAGGCCTAACACCTATTGCCCTGTCGGAAAGCCTCTCAATCCATGGTGGCAACTCAGATGACAATCTGTGCAGGTCTTCGTATCTTTCAAATACCCAGTGATTGCGAGACTTACAAAGCCACCACAGTATTTACGTCGAGAGTTGAATCCTGACTTTAGAAGTCTCACTTCTATGAAAACTGACAAATTGGTCACCACCATGATTTGAAAGAATCATTCCCCTAAGGTCCATCCCAGCTAATAGGAGCTATTTTCAAGACTGAAGTAGCAAACCTGCAGTAAAACAACACATGAATAATGGACTCTCCCTCTTCTCCACAAAGTCAACAGATAGGGTCCACCCCAACACCTTTCTCCCTCAGATTAAGGCTGACAGGTAGATAGCCATTGCAACATTTCCAAATGAAGTGTTTAACTTTCCCCATAGCTTTAAGACAACCAAATCCTTGCTACTTTGAGCTTTGTCCTGTTTTAGGAATTTATATGTGATAATCTTGGAATAAGTATATAGAAATGAATGCAGTGACCACACCCATGTATCCTCACCATTAGGATGAATGGATTGAATGCTTAAGACCGAGCTGCAGAATTTGGTCTCATCCCATCTATTACCATCCATGGTTATTAAGTCACTGACCCGTTCAATGCATCTGTCCATCCCATGCAGCAATTCCACCTATTAACCTATGAAGTCAGGTATTAGTGTTGGTCCCATACTCTAATATTCTTGACATTCTTCACCTCATCCCTCATCCAATCCCCATAAACCTTCAAAACAGAAAGCCAGCTACTCTAGAGCCAAGATGAATTTTGTTTCTTCTGAGCTTCAAACAAAGATGAAATAGGAAAGTATCTGGACTTAATAATTTTACTTGCCAACATTCTTGGTTCTGTAACCACCTTCCAAAACTGTTTTGCAATAAGAGCAATGTTGAACAATTGTATACCTTGGAATCTTATTCCTCATGCTTCTAGGCCAAGGTCAGCTTATTCCAATGTACCCAGTGCATTCCTCTATGAAAGTCTGATCCCTTACTCCACCAAAACTGTCCACAAACTCCAGAAACTTCTTTGCACAACCCTGCAGGCAGTACCAAACAGGACATAGCAAAAACAGGTAATGCATTCAGAACAACTCTAATCAACACCTTCATACCTGCAGCTGACAACCATTTGTTCTTCTTACTGAATATGTTGTTTCTCACCACAGTCAAGATGTAATCAAAAGCTTCTTTCTTGGTCTTCCCAATCCTCAGAGGAAGTCCTAAGTATCTGGTTGATGCGTGTTTTTTGAATCCCAGACAGTAAAGAACAAACTATATTCTGAACCTCTTCTGGTGTATTTTTACTGAAAATAACAGTAGACTTCTACATACTCACTTGTTGACTGTAAAATCCTTAAAGTGTTGAAGAATGCAACACAATTTCCTGATTTGGCCTTCATATGCCTTACAGAAAACTAGTGTATTACATACAAACATCAAATGAGTAAGAAGGGGTCCGCCCTTTGATAGCCTCAAACCTTTGAAACTCTCTCTCTTTGCTTCCTCATTAATCCTCGCAGATAATAATAAATAAATAAATAAGGGGATAATGGATCCCTTTATTTTATTCCCCCAGAAGCAGACACAAACCCACAAACTTGTCACTAATATTAAAATAAAAAGTGGGAAACTGAATACATGCCACAATCCATTTCACAAACTGTCCACGGAACCCCGTTCTAACCATGGCCAACTGAAAAGATTTCCACTCAACACAAGCATAAGCTTTAATACATCCAATTTTAGAGCCATAAACCAATTCTTACCACTTCTATGTCTATTCATAAAGTGAAACACTTCATGCCCAATTAATACATTATCTAACAATTGTCGACCAAACAAGTAGGAATTTTGATTTTCAGAAATAAAGATATGAAGACACTGTCTCAACCTCAAAGACAAGATTTTAGAAATCACTTTATAGAATACAACACAGAGACTTATAGGTCTGAATTGAGTAATAGAAACAGGATGCAGACACTTAGGTATAAAAGTGATAAGAGAATGTTTCAAGTACCTCATCATCTGGCCTGATTCAAAGAAGCTTCTAACTGCTGTGCAAATGTCTTTACTGATGATAGGCCAGAAATGTTGGTAGAACAAGCCAGTCATGCCATCCTCCCTCAGACATTTCTTACGATGAATGCTAAAGACAACTTTTTCAATGGCATCATCATCTACTGGAGCAGTAAGAAGATCATTCATCTCCTTAGTGACAAAAGGATGAATAAAAGACAGTAGCTGTTGTCCATGAACCCTTGGTAGTATACATCTGCCCATAAAAGTCAGTAATAGTCTGCTCAAATGCTGTTGGATCCTGACTAATAAAACCACCTTCAATAAGAAGTCTATCAATAGCATTCATTTTTCTTCGTTGAGCAGTATAAGCATGTAAAAACTTAGAATTTCTGTCCCTCTCTTCAAGCCACAAAGCCCTTGTTTTTTGCTGCCAAAAGTTCTTCTCAGAAAATTTACCCTCATCCAATTCTCTTTTTAGTTTGTCGCACACCTCAATTTCTGTCCCCCCTACTGCCCTCATCTCCTCTAACCTCAGAGACAGTTTTTCAATGATACTAGCATTCTATGATCTAAAATATTTACTCCTAGTCAGCTAAGCTTCCCCTGCCCTTTTAATTTTGTCCTTCAATGCATACATAGGGGTGCCCTCAGCCAGTATCTCCCAAGCCTGCTTAACCACACTATGCACTCCCTCTTTTGTAATCCACAGTTTTGTCAAACTGAAATCTCTTATTATGCCTGATGGAGCCTCCATTGAAATCAATCACAAACATACAATGATCAGAAGAACTCATAAACCAGCTGTGAACTTGAGAATTAGGGAAACTCCTCAGCCACTCTAAAGAAACAAAAGCGTTGTCCAACAACTCATCAACAAACCCCTCTTTCTTTCTACTATTGGCCCAAGTGAACTGCAATCCTTTGATTGTTAACTCTTGCACATTCATATGAGTTACAAATTCATTAAAACCGTAGTAACTACTGAGAGGTCTGCAAATCCCACCTTTCTTGTCCTCTAGTTTTCACAAATTGTTCCAATCCCCCACAGTAAGGAAAACATTGCCCTATTGAACCCTCTCTTGGATGATATAGCCCACTGAGCTGTTCTATTAGCCTTACAAGTATTAAGGTACACAAAAATAGCCCAACTCCAATCTTCATGCCCCCTCTCCTTAAATTTGACTGCTATAAAGAAAAGCTCACCATAAATCTGATCAATTTCTACTCAGAGTTCCAAAACAACATTAAACCGCCTATGGAACCTCTAGGTTCCACAACAAAATGTCTATCTACATAGCCCAATCAACTACAAACTTGAACTGAAAAATGTTTTATTTTTTAACTTCTGACAGAAAAGTAAAATAGGGTGATGGATCCTTAATCCCTTCTTGATCTGGGAAATTATAGAGGGCTCACCCAGACCTGTACAGTTCCACACCAGAGCCCTCATTGACCCCCTGAGAGCTCCTTAAGGTTGGCCCTCTTCAGGTTAGTAAAAATCTTTAGAACGATGACTCTCGGCTGCCACTTCTTAAGAAAGTAGAGCTCAAGTCTATATTTTGATTTTTGATGCAATCTTTTGAGCACTGCTGATTAAACATAATACGTGCATGACTTACTTTACACGTACAATTTCGGCCATGTCTTTCGTGTAGGAGCTCCTTCATTTGTTCCTTGGTCTTTCCCACTGAATGATTGGTGTTAGTCTGATAATATTTTTTGTTTCTTATGATTTCCGAAACATGTTCTTTTGGCGCATATGCATCTGGCCATTTAGGTATATAATTGCTTGGCTTCTTACCTCTTTGGGACTGCTTTTTTCCACTTTTAGAGCACAATTACTAATTAGAATTTTTAAGATCTTTCACAAAAAGTCGTTGTTCTTTTGAAAGAACTTCTCAAGAATTCTGGATTAAGTATATGCAGTGGAGTTGATTCGACTAGGAAGTGCCACTCGAGTTCCTAAGTTCGATGTTGTTAACTCTGACTTCTACCTTTTCTTTTGTAGGGTTTCAATGTGAAATGGGTGTATCACATTTGAAACATTAACTGACGTGGCTTAAGTTTCTCAAGAAGTAACATGTTAGTCACTCTTAAGTTAACAATTTTATAGTATTCATGATTTGACTCTAGCCAAGAGTTTCATTTTTAGGCCAAGCTTTAGGAACTTAGTTCAAGGAAGGAGTTAAACAAACTTCTGGAAGCCGACGCAATTATTGTTCTAAGTGCTTCATTTGGTGTAAACTTTGTTCTTTATGCACAATGATAAAAGATCCCTGAGTTTGTTATCCATGCTTGCCATATATTTTTATTAAACTTGGCCTTTTCGTGCTTGGCATATCTCAAGCCAAAAGCATCCACAAACATTTATTATTGTTTTTTTTTTTATTTTTGTAGTTATAAAAAACGATTACAATATACTCGAAACACTTAATTATTAATTATATTGAGGCCAACATTGCGTGTTACTAAGTGTTCAAATTTTAAATATTATTACAATATAGGACACAATTAAAATTATTAAGTTACAAATAAATAAAAGC